TTACATTTCACACAAACCCAGACTTTGTTTTTTGTTTTTAATTTTGTTGTAGTTACCTTGTTTAACAGAGAGAGCAGAGAAAGTTGAGACAAAAGAGCTCATCAGAACCGACTCCTCTTCTGGACAAACGTACATGTTCTGGATTAGAGGAGAAGAGTTATTATTACTGCTGTTAATGTATACCAGATGTGGATTTATTGATGTATTTGGCCGTTTTTAAATCTTTACAACCCTGCCGAGAACAACAAAAAAATCCAAAGTACACAGTACTCCTACATAGATGCTGCCGAAGTACTTGTTCTTGTTATCTTTGGGTACCTGTATGGTGTCGTTGAGCACCAAGGCATCAAACTGGGCCAGGTACTGAACATGGTAACGCTGAATTACACGGTTGTGCTTTCTCATTAGTCCTCTTAACTTTTCCATGTAAAACAACAGTTCTGCCATCTGACTGAAAAAAAAAAAACCCACAAGTTTCAGACTCAAAATCCTTAATCCTTTTGTTTTATTGCAATATTTATGCACATTGCTGTTGCTAATCATTGAAGGTTTTCTTTGGCATGATAATAAGATAAATATAAACGGTTTTCAGGTAGTTAAGCCCCATTTATTTTAGAGCTACTGCCACCTGTGTGACTGAAATTCAGCTCTTAGCTGTAAGAATTTTGCACATTTGTATCATAGTGACTTGATCATTCCAAGAAATCTTATAAGGGACCTACTTGTCATTGTAGTCCTCGAGCGTCTTGATCTTTGGCATGTTTTCGGAGTGTCTGACAAGCCATAGGACCTCGTCACGGGAAAATGACAACGCCATGAAGACAAATAAAGCCTTAATGGCCCAAAAAGTAAAAGAATAACATTAATACAAGTGGAACATTATCTGGATAGAGGTTAGATCAACTCAAATATTAATGTAGCATTAATGGATTGTATAAATTCCTCCAGTGCTTTCTAAGTTTCCCACAGTTCTTCTACCTTTGGTCCCAGAAGTCCAGGTTCATCTTCCAGAACTTTCCATAATTCCCTCAGTGCTACTCTCAGAAACTGCCTCTTCTCTCTGTGCACTGCTCCACTGGAGACAAACAACAAACAGCTGGATTTAACAGCACTTTTCTAAATAACTGCAATTCGTGGAATAATTCACGAGAGGTAAAGTAATTTACCAGTTGGCTAAAACATGCTCACGGCATTCCTTGATGTCTGCAACTCGCTTACTGTACCTAATTAAAAAAAAGAAGAATACAGAAAAAGAAAATGATGCTCTAATATTTCACTGCCAGTAATCCCAGAGTGTCAGCGTCTAAAGATTTCCATCCATTATCTTTACACGCTTCTTCCTTTTTGGGTCATGGGGGTCACTGGTTCCAGTTACCACCTGAGAGTACCACCTGGTATCCAGCAGTCACTGTGCGAGAGGCGGGGGACACCATGGACAGGTCGCAAGTTCATCACAGGGACACAAGAGACAAATGAGACAAACAACCATTCACTCTCTCACTCTCACCTAGGGACAATTTAGAGTTACCAATCAGCCTAACATGCATGTTTTTGGTCTGTGGGAGGAAACCAGAGTACCCGGAGGAAACCCACGCATGCACGGAGAGAACATGCAAACTCCACCCTGGGATTTAATCTGGCGACCTTCTCGCTGAGAGGCAACATCTTTACCAACTGAGCCACTGTGCCACCACAAAAACATAAATCATGTTACTTTTTTTTTAATAACAACAAAAAAAAAACTTGTTTTGTTTGACTATTTTTTCCATTGTTTTTTTTTCTTTTCTTTTGTATTTAAATTTTACAGCTTAAAGCTTGTTGACTGTTGAAGCTTGAGAGTTTGTCTTCGACGGTAAGTTTCTTTTACGATTAAAATATTCTTTCTATATCTTCTTTCTCATTTACAAGAGAGGTGCTATTAGATAAACATCTTTTATCTCATTTTGCTGTCTACAATAAAATGGTTTAACATCATCCTATCTTTTGCTTCTACCAGTTTGCGATTCTCATATGAATTAATCCCTCATCAAATTTACAGACAATAGTCTAAAATATGTATAAACTCATGTGACAACCTCAAAAGTTTTTTTTTTTTATGGTCAAATTGTTAAGGAACAGCTGTGATGTTCCTGTCCTTGAGCCACAGTGTGGTCAGAAATAGTATCGTACCCTTTCAGTGTGTCCAAGTGGTCCTCAGAGACCTTGTGTATGTTGAGGACTTCGTCTCTGATGAGGATGAGGTAGAGGCCGCTCTGCAGGGCCATCTTCCACAGCTCCAGAGAGGCCTGGTTTGTATTCAGGCTGCTGTGGCACAACAGGAAGCCGACTGCAAGGAGAGAAATTAGAAACAGTCTTGATACCATCTAAATGACTGGGAGCATTGTTGTCTGTGGTTAAAATCATTAAGAAACCTGGAGAAAACATTAATGTCTTTTCTTGCTCTATTTTCTTTTTGTTTCTTTATTTAAATATAAAGTTAGAGTAGATTTTTTTTTTAATCCTTTATATAAAAACAGTTGCTGAGATGTAATGAGCTAAAAAGGAACATAACGGCAAACTTTTTTATGTATCCAAAACCCCCACTGTTCAAAGAGACATTCAATAAAGACAAACAATCCAGAATCACTTTTCAGTCCATGTTTCATTAGCTTCAAAATCTCATCTGACACAACCGAGTGTCTTTTGTTTGAGACTAAAAGAACTGTTTGACTCCCTCAGTTTTCATCCTCAAACTGTTTTAACTCCTATATACAAATCATAATGTTCTCCTTACTGACTAGAAAGCCATTAAAATGTATTATATTGAATTAGAACAAATCCTGAATGTGTTACTAATTTCTGTTTGTTTCCCTGAACATATACATTCATTCATTTGTGGTACAGTTTGGTTTAAAGGATCAAATAACTTAAATTCTAAAAAGCATAAATCAAACTGAGCTTTTGAATCTATTGTTTGAGCTTGTTCTAGCTAGGTCAAAAACAAATAATCTGTGACAAATCTAGCTAACCTTTTGTTTGTACAGTAAATACTGCGTGTCAGAGGGTCTGGGATGAGAGGAGAATGCTTCAGGGCTATTTAAATATGAAATGTTAGAATAACTTACTAACAATCCACCGCTCCATCACATCCATTGGCAGGTATTCACACATCATCTGAAGTGGAGAATGAGCTTATTAACAATCATGGAAGTAGATTAGCTGCCAATTACAGGTATGTAGCTACAGCAAGAATCACAGCTTATTATCAAAGTAATCCAGGTAATAAATCCAACAAATTTAAGTCAGGTCCTCTGGACGCTTTCTTGTTTTGTTGAAAAGTTTCGTCCTTCATCCAAAGGACTTCGTCAGTGCGAGCAGCTACAACAGACTCAGTCCCATAAGTAGCTCTCACATAGAGGGCCAACCAGTTTTATGGCGATAAGATGGTTTTCTGGACCACTTTGGCTATGGCTGCCTCAGAGGAGTCGACAGGAGAGAGGGTGAACTCCAGAAACCATCTTCTCACCATAAAACTGGTTGGCCCACTATGTGAGAGCTACTTATGGGACTGAGTCTGTTGTGGCTCCTCGGAATGATGAAATCCTTTAGATGAAAAACGAAATGCTTCAAGAAAACAAGAAAAAGTCCAGAGGACATGACTTAAATTTGTTACACACCTTATTATGTTCTTTTCCTTTCATAAGTGAAACTACAAGGTAACAAATCTGTGTGAGTGTTATCTGTTTTCATTTAAACCAATGTAGATGTTGGACCTGGAAGTGTACTTCACAGTATAGCACAGTACAAATGCTTTAAAGCATTAAAATATTTGCACAGAGACTGAACAGTAGTGATCAAAGCCCCAGTTTAAAGACAATCTAGCTTATTGGAAGAAAAATATAAAGAAATGACCAGTGACTTTAAACCTTTGCACAGCGCTGCATTTGTTTGTAAAACGCAGTTTATTTCTTGTTTCAACTTACAGTAAAAGTTAAGAAAATAAACATTTTCAACAATTATCCTAAATTATTTAAAGTTAAAACCAGAGCCTCTAAATTCAATTATACAGTAAAATATTAAAGTTGTTGATGTCATCCCACTGAGAGGGGTACGGGGCAAGAGAGTTGATGGTGGGGTTGTGTGTGTGTGTGTGGGGGGGGGGGGGGGGGGGGGGGGGCTCACAGTGTCACAGCAGGCTGGGTCCAGCATGGCAGCAGGAGTGCTGAGCAGGCTGAGGAGCTGGGCGCTCCGCCACTGCTCTGCAGGCAGGTTCCTGCGTGGGTACACCATCCTCAGAGAGAGCAACGCTGCTGTCACAGACTGAGATCAGGACAGAAGAAGTATAAACAGTGAGAGTCATATTTTTTAATTAAAAGATAAGTTCAGGGAATAAGATACTGAAATATGGCAAAACACAAATTTGTCATATCAACATACTTTATGCTGTGTACAAAATGTACAACTGTGTTACCAACCAGCGCTGCATGTGATGCTGTTAATTGTTGCCAGGCAACAACAAATGTACTACTATATTTTCAACTTTCCAACAGTTTGTCAACAGATGCTTCAAAATAATTTGTACAGCAACTACAGTATAAATACATTTCTGCGTGAAAGTTAAAAACTATATTCAGTTTACTTTACTATTGTTGCAGGCATAATCTTATCTAACTGAAAAAACCTACAAAATACATGAACACAACAGATAAAATGTAAAACCACTTGTCCAAATAAAACAGAAATTGTACTAAAATGTCCATGTGCGTGAAAAATGTGCATTATTTTATTATAATGGTCTGTAATAAACGGGCAGGCATAAATAAAAGGTATTAAATTGTACATTTAAAGTCTACTAGGAATTATAATAAACTCCCCATCCTAAACAGTGCTTAAAATCTTGAATTGTTACACATTTTACTGAGAGTTAAATGTACCCTTGTATGAGGGCCAAACTCTTCTGTGAGCTTCTTCCAGGGGTGCTCGTACTCCACAAACATCTGCCCCAGCCGAGGGTAGGAGGGGTCGCTGCAGATAATGTTATGGTATAAAATTAAACTGTATAAAAAATAAATAAAAGGGGGTGGTGGGGATAAACAAACTGAAAAATGACATGATATTACTACATTCAGCAAATCATTTATCATGCTCTCCTCTTTTAAAAGTTCATCACGTTCATTAGTACAAGATCACTGCATGTGTTTTAAGTTTTACAATGCCTGTCACTGTTTGTATTGTTCACAATGCTTTTTAAAATATAATTATAGTATGGTTAAATATGTTAATGTATGCCGTTTGTTTTGTGTCTTCTGCTTTTATCATTGCTGTTGTATGTCCAGCTCTACTGCCTCTTAAACAGGTCATGAAGGCAAATGAGAAGTGGTTCTCAACTGACTTATCTGTCAAAATAAAGGTTAAATTAAACTAGCTTTACTAATAAAAACTTTTTGAACTATGTTTTTTTTAGGCATTTTAGAGATTTAATAAACTTACACAGCATTCAACTGGATGGTTGAAAAATGAAAACCGAGGATGTTCAATCTAAAACGGCAGGCTGTGTGTGGTCTTTTTCAAGTAAAATTAGACTTGCACACCAAGCGTAGCATGTATGTGTTTTGGGCTCATTACCCAAGTTCCAAATTAAGGTAAACTTCCTGCCATGTTGGGCTGTTCAAACAAATAATGAATAAACTCAAAAACCCACACTTGGCGTAAATGAAACTGAATTGTTGAGGATTGTAAAAACGATGATGGTCAGATTATATGAAATGACAAATGAAGGCTCCTAATGTTGATGTTATATTTTTGTTTTTAAAATAAGATAAGATGAGAGAAGATAAAATATGATACAGTAAGATAAGGCGAGATAAGATAAGGTGAGATGAGATCAACTTTATTTCCTACCACAGTTGTGATAGAACTTATCCTTTGACATGCTTTACATTTATCAGACACACACAAGAACAACCGAGAAATAAAAATAAAAAAAAAAAAAAAAAAAGTTTTATTTTCTAATGCAATTGAATTGAATTGAAATTAATCTTATTACTTGTGGAAAGTAAATTCCCATACAATAAACAAGTTGTGAAACAATTTTTTGCAGCTAAGCATCATGAGTCTTATGGATTTATTATTTCAACCATTACACTTAAGTTTGAGGCCAAACATTTAAAATATTCTAGTGAATGATTTTTTTATAACTAATTGTTTGTTTATTCGGGGGCAGCTGTGGCTGAGCAGTTAGAGGAGCCGTCATCCAATGCAAGAGTTAGGGGCTCGACTCCACCAGTAGTCACATGTCAAAGTGTCCCTGGGCAAGACACTGAACCCCTCATTGTTTCCGATGGGTGTCCCATCAGTGTATTAATGTGATAAAGCACTGATTATCTTTTGTAAAGATATAGCAGAGTGCTGCATGAATGGGTATATGAGGGCACAGGTTGTGTTGTAAAGCACTTTGAGTATCTTGATAAGACAGAAAGGTGCTGTATAAGTACAGTCTATTTACCATAACTATTTAATTCCACCTCATGTACCACAATGCAAATGACAATAAAGAATCTTGAACCTTGTTTCTGTGTTTAAGCAAATGTCAACTTTTTGTAGAGTTTAGTAAATAATACAACTTAATTGAAATTAAAAAATCTAATATAGGAGGCTAAAACACTATTTATTACACCACCATTGTTTTAGTTGTCAATGTATTCTGTCATGAACAAGACAGATTCACTGAACAAATACATAATTTCAGTGATGAAATCAGGGATGCAACTAAAGCTAACGGTTCAGCACTATGAAACCATTTTATGTGTTACTAATATACCGTATTTTTCATAATTTGCAGCCCTGCGACTAATAGGCTGAAGCAATGTATTCATGGATTTTTTTCCCATATTTATAAACCAATTTTTGGCTGAGATATGACTGTTTCATTCATTCTGACTGAAAAAAATTGAACACTATCATTTTCAGCAACTAGATGGCACTCGAGTAGTAAGGCATGCCGTTGTATCATGTAATAGGTAAAAGTGACTATTAATGACACATTTGGCTTGCCTGGAGCAACCAAATCAGCTTCATTTCGCTGCGCCGCCCTGACAAAATGCAAATGATTTGACTGTCAGTGCATTTATTAGGTAAAAGTTCAACTGAGACACACCTTTACTATAAAGTCGAGTTAACAAATAATTGTTTTTAGGTGGTTGTCTTGTTAAATTTCAAAGAAATGGACCGAGTTGCCCTCTGCGCGTTCATGTTTCAGCGTATCGGTTTTGGAAAATGCAGCTGATTTGACCGTCAAAGTGCATTTATTAAGCAAAAGTTAGACTGAGACACACGTTTGTTATAATTTTGCACAAACAAATAATTGTTTTTAAGTGTTAATCTTGCTAAATTCTTGTTAAAGTCCTGTGCACACTCATGCAGCTGCCATTTGGTACCCAATTGATTTTTGTCACAACACCGGCACATATTTCTGGGTTCTGCCCACATTTCCGGGTTGTCAGCAGTGACGCGTAATAGATGCAACATATACGGCAAAGTGACATATTTATAGATTTTTTCACTTTATTAGACATAGGCTATTTGGACTGATGCGACTTATAGGAAGGTGCAACGTGTACGGCAGAACATACGATACATTATTTGCTCAACACCATCAACACACTATAAGTAACATCTCTTGCAAGAGCAAATAGCAAATGTTAAAAGGGCGTCAGGCTCATCGATTATGAAACTATATTACCGTACTTTCTTACCTGCATCCGTTGGTCATCTCATGAGCACAGTTAAACATTCCCACCATAGTCTTCTTGTCACTGATGCGAGCAAGTGTGATGATGACAGACGCATAGGTGACGATCAGGTCCAAGTAGTTTTTGGTGAAGTCAAAATTGAAAGCCTGTAATTGAAATGTGAGTTATGTAGCTGCAGCCAACTTATAAATATAACAGGTGTACTTTTTGTTACATGCAGACCAGAATAATGATTGTTTTTATTAATTTGGTTTAAAAATAGCAGAAACAAAGAAGTTCAACTTTAGTTTATGAATAAGAAATAAAATGACAGCTGTTAAGAGACATTATAATAAAATCTTGAATAATTACACATTTTACTGTCAGTTAAATGTGAGTTCAAAAGGTCTTATGGGATTTTAGTGTAAGCGATATAAATGTTAAATCACAATCACTTCAGATAAAAATACATTTAAAAAATGATAGATTTTTGGATTATCAGAATTATTATGAGTTTTTCTTTATGTACAAAAAGATAAAAGCAACTAAAAACAGACACTTACAATATCAAAGAAGCACTGAGAGGCATCTATAGTGTTCAGTAACTCATACACGTGGTCCTGGAAGGAGAACGAGTTACATTTGAGAACAAAAACAGAAAATGAGCAGTATTGCAATCTTGCTTCATTTTATTAGCTTTCTTGATAATCACCGATAATTTGTGTATTTCCAAGTACAAAAAAGTTCAATCTGGTCCTCTGGACCTTCAAAAAAACAAAAAAACAAAACAAAGAAAAAAATATATAGAAACGTTTCATCTCTCATCCGAGAGACTTCCTCAGTCTGAGGTGCTGTATTCAGCTCAGTCTCTTAAATAGCACCTTCTCAAAGTGGATCAACCACTTTGCTGTTGACAACCAAAACCAGCTGATCACATGCTCAAGAAGGACCATCAGCCTAACAATGGATCATTAGCACACTGATGGCTGTTTACTATTCACAAGGGGTTGAGTGATACTAGCAATCACAGCATTGTAAGAGGGGGACAGTTGAACCCGGAGGCCTCCACCCCTGTTTAATGATGGACGATTTCTTTTCACAAAGATGGCCTCCTTTACTCCTCTCTCAAACCATCGTTCCTCTCTATCCAGGATGTGCACATCTTCATCCCTGAAAGAGTGACCGCTGGCCTGGAGATGAGTGTAGACCACAGAATCCTGGCCTGATGATGTTGATCTTCTGTGCTGGGCCATCCTTTTAGCCAGTGGCTGTTTAGTTTCCCCGATGTAAGACTGATCACAGCCCTCCTGACACTGAACAGCATACACAACATTACTCTGTTTGTGCCGGGGGACTGGGTCTTTGGGATGAACCAATCTTTGCTGTAATGTATTTTGGGGTTTAAAAGCCACTGGGACGTTATGTTTAGAAAATAAACGTCTCAGTTTCTCTGATACCCCCTCAACATATGGAATGACCACTGGTCTGGGTCTGGGTTCCTCCTTTTCACCTGTTGGCTGACTGGAGTCCTGTTTGAGTTTCTTCTCTGCTTTTAGGAAGACCCAGTTAGGGTATCCACATTGCTCTAGAGCCTGTCTTGTGTGGGATTTCTCCTTCTGCCTGGCTCCTGAGCTAGTGGGGATGCTGTCTGCTCTGTGATACAGAGTCCTGATGACTCCTAACTTGTGCTCCAAAGGGTGATGGGAGTCAAACTGCAAATACTGGTCTGTGTGGGTGGGTTTGTGGTACACCTCAGTTTGCAAATGTCCTCTATCAGAGACTGAGACCTCACAGTCCAAGAAAGCCAACTTGCCATTTTTTACATCTTCTCTTGTGAACTTGATGTATTTATCCACAGAGTTGATGTGGTCAGTAAAATGTTGGACTTCCTGAGATTTAATTTTAACCCAGGTGTCGTCAACATACCTGAACCAATGACTTGGTGGTGTCCCTGAAAAGGACGTCAAGGCTCTCTTTTCTACCTCCTCCATGTACAGGTTGGCAACAATAGGAGAAACTGGAGACCTCATAGCACACCCACGTTTCTGCCTATAATATTGCTCCCCATTTGTGAAGTAGGTTGATGGCAGGCACAGTTTCAAGAGTTGACACAGTTGTTCTGTGGAAAGCGTGGTCCTGCTGCTCAGAGTGGTGTCTGATTTTAATTTTAAACTGACCCCCTCTACTGCATCATCAACAGGAATGCACGTAAAGAGTGATGTGACATCAAAAGAGACCATTGTTTCATCAGTTTCCATGATGACATCCCTCACCTTATCCACAAAGTCCATGGTGTTCTGTATGTGGTGTTCTGAGCTGTCAACTAAAGGGATGAGTACAGATGCCAGATATTTGGAAACATTGTAAGTGACAGAGTTAATCATGCTAACAATAGGTCTTAAAGGTACACCTTGTTTGTGGATTATAGGTAAAACATACAGACAAGGTGTGGCCTCCCCTGGGTACAGTCTGTGGTACAGAATACGGTCAATAGCCTTGTCCTGCTCCAAATTTTTCAGGCAATCTATTAACTTCTTCTTGTAACCACTTCCTGGATCTTTTTTCAGAGGTTCATAAGTGATTAAGTCACTAAGGAGTGTCATAACTTTCTCATGATAGTCTTTCTGGTTCAAAATCACTGTGCACCTTCCTTTGTCTGCTGGGAGAATCATGATGTTTTTGTCCTTGCTAAGAGTGGTGAGTGCATCCCTCTCCTCTCTACTGATGTTGGAAGGTGGTGGTTTGGCATTGCTGAGGCAGGATGAAACTTTGATTCTGAGCTGTTCTGCTTCAGCCTCTTTCATTTTGTTGTTGTGGATGGCTGATTCTGTGGCTGTGATCATCTCCACCAGAGGAATTCTACTTGGTGCAACCGCAAAGTTGAGTCCCCTGGCAAGAATCTCTGTCTCTGGCTGGGTGAGCTGTCTGTCAGATAAATTCTTCACCCACTTTTCTGTCTCCCTGGCATGTAATTGACGACTGGAGTGTTGACCTACACTGAATGTGTTGTTATTGGAATAGTGATGGTGTTGATGAGTTATTAGTAAGTTAAACTTGTTTTGTTGTCGAGTCTTGGACTTGACATGCTGTGCTAAGCGTGCCTGATCTGTACAGTCCAACACTTGCTGAAGTGTGGTCTGATCTAGACACATAGTTAGTTTCTGTTTAATGTGCTCCTCTTTGGCCTTCAAGGCCTCAATAGTAAAATTGGTCTGTCTCACCCGTTCATTCAGCAGCTGGGTATTATTATATTATAATAATAATATTTCCAAGTATTGTGAATAAGTTATTTTCAAAATTTACAAAGAATGTCTTGGGCTGACTGTGACCTCAATCAGGAAGATGCGAAAGAAGCTATAAACATTTGTAACACTCTCACCATACAATTGGAATAGGATATTTTTTTTCATAAAAAAATGTCACATAAATCCATATATCATAAAAAGTAATACAATGAATACTGACCAGAGAGAATGGAAAAAAATGACAGTTATGATTATTGCCTTTTTTTCTAATACTACTTTTGTTTATCATCATATAGTGAGTTTTATGTTTCATCAACATGATCACAACTGTTTCCAAACCATGTCCAAAAAGGTGTCTCTTAAAGGTAACACTACAAATTTAGACAAACAAAGACAAGAAAAAAAAGGGAAAAAAATTACCCGAAACTCTATGACATCCAGAAAAGAGTCGTAGTAGCTGCTTGTGGCACTGAGCACCTCCGATTTCTGTCGTTGGATGCTCATCAGATTTTGCTGCAATGAAAAACAATAAATAAACAAATAACATCCTGATGCATGCTCAATAACCCAGGTAGAAAAATCTAAAAAAGTTAAATCTGGTCCTCTGGACATTCAAAAAAACAAAACAAAACAAATTGTAAAAACGTTTCGTCCTTCATCCGAAACAAAAGAACACAAGAATAACCGAGATGGTTAGGTCCATTTAGCACATACTCTAGTTGGGTCAGGCAAGTCGAGAAAAAAGCAAAGAAAATGTATGTACAGTATGTATGTATGTATGTATGTATGTATGGACAGATGTATGTATGTTTGCATGTATGCTTGCATGTATGTATGCATGTATGTATGTATGCATGTATGTATGTATGCATGTATGTATGTATGCATGCATGCATGCATGTATGTATGTATGTATGTATGCATGCATGCATGCATGTATGTATGTATGTATGTATGCATGCATGCATGCATGCATGTATGCATGCATGCATGCATGCATGTATGTATGCATGTATGTATGTATGTATGCATGTATGTATGTATGTATGTATGTATGTGTTACGACCCGGCTCAGCTAGGAGAAGGGGAGGCAACATTAGAAACCCAGATGGAACAGGTTTGAATAAAAGTAATAATTTAATTGGTCAGTTTAAAACAAAACAAAAAGTAAACAAGTAAGCCTTCTAACTGTTGTCAGGGGCTTACAAACAACACCAACTAATAACAACAACTGCAGGGTTTAACTGTTGGCCAAAGCCAAACCATTCAAATCAAGAGACTCAAGTCCAAAGACAAATAAACCCATACTAATGGCGAGCTGCTCTAAACAACAGCCACCCTGAATGGCAGGAGAGCTGGGTTTAAATAAGCAGGCCTCTTCTGTGGTTGGAGGAGCAGGAGGTGAAGAAGCCAACCAGGATGCAGATTGATGTCCATTGGGGAGGATTCAGGAAGTGAAGCAGCCAATCCCAGATGGGCCACAGCACAGCTGAGTCAGTAATCAACCTGCCAACACTTTTGCTCAACCAAATGGCCTCAGGCCGTAACATATGTATGTATGTATGTATGTATGTATGTATGTATGTATGTATGTATGTATGTATGTATGTATGTATGTATGTATGTATGTATGTATGTATGTATGTATGTATGTATGTATGTATGTATGTATGTATGTATGTATGTATGTATGTATGTATGGATGCATGTTTGTATGTATGGATGATTGGATGATGGCTTGATGTGC